CAAAAATTAGAAAATATTTCTTTTATCATAACTTTAAAAAGCTAAAAAAGTCAAAAATATGTTGTTAGTTTTATTTTTGATCATTTATAACGCAAATCAATCCAAATCAATAATAATTAATTTAAGAGATAAGTGAAACAAAATATTCATAGACTGAAATTATGCGGGAATCTTTGTATAGCATAAAATTAGCACTGTTAAATTAATGAAATGGATAAATTTCATTGTTTAAAATAAAAAATGAAATCAATTTGATAATGATAATGAAATCTGTGCGTAATTAAATTTCTATGAAAAAAATATCAAAAATTTTAATCGTTTCAGAATTTAATTAATTTAAAATCATTTCAAAAAAAAGGGAAAAGAGAAAGTACTAATTATATGCTGTGATTGCTCAGATGAATAAAGGAAAGTAAGAAAAAAGAAAGAATGAAAAGAATTGTAGTAGTTTGAGAAGACAAAATTAGCTAAAGAAATGAGATGGAAAATTAAACTAACTAAAATTAAACAAATGTTATTTCCATCCACATGGAACGGAATGCTAAATTGATGAGGAGATAGTGAAAACGAAATGAAATGAAATTAATTAAAATGAATTGGATAGATCAGATGAGGCGCAGATGTCTGGAAGCATATTGCCAAGAATGCATTCAATCATTTGCAAATTGAAATGTAAAGTTATTTGAGGAAGAGAATCTATTTTTATGCAAATTCTAAGAATAGGATAGTCTTCTCTCCCCTTCTCTCTCTCTCTCTCTCTCTTTCTCTCTCCCTCTCTCTCTCTCTTCTCCTCTCTTAGACATTTATAATGTATTCATTACACTATTATTACACTTGGATCAATCAAATGCATTTCATTTAGCACTGATGAACATTTAAAAATTCATTCTGTCTTACAAATTTGACTTTTATTACAAATTACAAAATTTTTGTTTCTATTTTAATCTAAATTTTTAAATTGAATGTTAAAAATGAAATGAAAAAAACTAACTAAAATCGTAATTTTTAATAAAATTTGAATTATTTCGAACGGCACAAACTAAAATATATTGATAACGTTAAATAGAATGATTGATAGTGATATAATAAAAGTTTAGATATAAAGTACTATGTCGTATTATTTATCAAATATTTTAACAATACAACAATAATTGCTCGATACTGATAATAATAAATAATCGCTATTATCTTTTCTTTATTTATCATCATTTATGCATATTAGAATTAGGAATTGCTTAATTTGATATTTAGAATTATTCATTTCTTTAAATTTCTATTAATCTATATTCCCAGTTATGCATAAATTTATATCACTCATATCTAAGTCAATCGTTCATCACTGATTTTACTGAAATACTCAAGTACTAGAATTTTCATCTGGTGATCCGATTTTAGTTAAATATTATTTCAACCCTATTTTTGTTTGTAAAATTTGTAAACAAATAGTGGAAAATTTTATTGAGTATCAGCAAAAATCAATTTCTAATTATATGTATGAAAGTATTACAACAAGAAATTTCACTGTAAATATGACAGAGATATAAAATGACAAAAATGTTTAAAGTATTTTATAACATCAACGCCACAAATATGAGTTCAAAAAAAATAAATATAATCTTCAGAAGGAAAAAAATTCCAAATTTTAAATTTAAAATTTAACAAAATATAGATGAAATGTTAGAACAAATTTCACAAATGTTAGAAATAAAACTTAAGCATTCTAATGCTATAGAAATATTTTGTGAGAGAATGAAAATAAAACATTAAATTTGATAACAAATTTATTTTTAATATGCTAATAATATTTAAACTGATGAAACCATGCCTTAAGCGTTAATATAACAAAAAGAAATGAAAAAAAGTGCGTAACAAAGAAAAATTTGAAATCAAAACAATTACCAATTCCGATTATTTCATACGTCATATAAATGGAAAAAAAGAAGAGAAAAAATAATTGAGATCACTTAGATGAATTTATCACCAGTTTGATTAATTTTTTTATGCTAAAAGAACGAAAAAAAGCAGAAATGAAATAATACTATCAAATGATAATATATCACTAATACTATCACTATAATTATCATTATCATATCAATTACTATTAGCAGAAGCTACATATGATGTTGGAAATCGTCCAATTTTATTATTTATTTTCAATTTTAAAGTATCAGTTTCATTAATCATTTGATTATTGGAAATAATTTGTCCAATCATCCAATCATTACCAATTTTACCTTCCACTAAAACGCAATCACCTGCGTGAACGTCTAATTCATCTTCGGTTTTAGCTGTGAAATCATAGAGGACACGATAGATTCGCTTTATTGTTTCACTATTACTGGTACACGTTGATGATGACGTATTTTGCGTGTGTTGTAATTCATCATATAACATTGAGCGCGGAGCGGTGTACTGTTCTAGTGCTTCACGTGCATCGTTAACAATCTACAGTGGAAAAAGAAATAAATTTACATTTATGTAAAATTCACGTAAACATACAATATAATAATTTAGTAGCAGACTTTTACGTTTAATATTAACGCTTATAACATTTATTCTTTCATTTAAAGGGTAAGTTAATCGACTAAAGTACAATTACACAATAGTACTCAAATATATCATTAATTAGAACAATTCATATTTTTCATTACTATTAAATAAAATTTCTGAAATTTTTTGCAAATTGCATAAATTTTATATAACTTTTTTTATTACAATAAAAAGTAAAATTTTATACTTAACTTTACGCATAAGTGAATAATGTAATAAAGTAAATAGTTATTTTCTAAACAATGCAAAAGATCTTACTGGTTCAGTATCATCTTCTATACTCGACGTTGTAGGTAAACTTAGCGCAGATGGCTTCTCATCATTTTCAAATTCATCTAACGGTATTGTCAATACCGTTTGCGCCAAACCCTGCATTATAAAAAAAAGGAAAAAATTAATAAACATTTTATAATTAATATTTATTTAAGAAAAATTATTTCATTTTTCTTCTTTTTATTTTTTATTTTTCCGCTAGAAAACTTTTTTTTTCTCTTTTTTTTTTTGTTCTAAACTTTTGTCATGAAGCAAAAAAAAAGCAATAATGTGAATTTAACCATTTTATCTTTAAGTTTCTGCTGAAAACGCGCTAATCGATGATATTCTCTATTTTGTGCACCATCGATACTTTTCAATGCCTCGTTTATTTTATAAATCAAATATTCCAAGAATTCGACATAACTCTTAAATGAAATAAAGCCGTAAAAAATTTGATAAATTTTAAATTTTGATAAGAATTATAAGCAAGATCAATTATTTGTAGTAATTTTTTTGCTAAAGATTGAATTAATTCTATTAAATTTCTTGTTTTATCACAAATCAATATAAATAATTGATTGCATTAACGATGAATAATATGATAAGCTAATCGATTAATAATTTGTTAAATTTAATTTAACCCAACTTTTTTTCAGTTTCACTCTTTTTTCTTATCAAATTTCATTTTATCTCACACAACTAATAGATTTTTTCAATCTTTCATGAACTATTTTTAGATTCAAAAACAAATAATAAATGCTTTTAAAAAATTTCATTCCTCTTTTAAAATAAATTTTCCAAATTTTTTAAAATTAGCAACAAAATTCATTACTTAATTAATCATCAATTCTAAAATTAATTCAAATCCATTCGCATTACAGCGTTAAAACGTTCAAGATACATATCAACGAATATGACCATTAGTTAATATTCAAAAAAAAATTCATTTTAATTTTTTCCATAAGCAATCATCTTTAATTAATTAATTTTAAAAAAAAACGAATAATTAACAAGAAACTTACACAATTTGCAATATTAGCCGATGATAGTAAGATTGAATTTGTTTCCAGTTGAGTTTGTTTTAAATATTCATGAAGTACCGCACTGATTCGTTCCAATGTCCAACGTCGTCGTTGTCCGCCAATCACTTCCGCAAAATTTTCCGCCTGAAAATTAATCGCATACGATAATAATTTATCATTCTTTGATATTAATTTTTTTTTTTATCCATTCCTTTCATTTTATATTCTTATTTTTCATTCCATTTATATTCATTCCTTGCATAAATACGAATTATTTATTGTTCATATTTCTGATATAATACAATCTAACATAAATACACAATTATTTATTGATTCGATAAATTAATTAAATTGATAATTATGATGAATGATCATTTTTTTTCTAATCAATCTTACATGTATTATGAGATCATACATGATTTGAAACAGTAAACTGCTATTATTTGTAATAAAGTTTATTTATAACAAATTACTATATTAAAAAAAGAGAAAGAAAAAAATTACATTTAAAAAAAAAGTATAAAATAAAACAAAATTTGATTAATTTATTCTTTTAAAAAATGAATAAAAACTAATTAACATGAAAATCGCATAAATAGATTGTATGATTTGTTGAAGAAATTGGTGTTAACATTGAAATTTGCTCATTCGGTTCTGCACTGACAGCATCATTTAATGCATTCATACAACGTTCAAACATCTGCAAAATTTCAATTATTCTTCAATTCTAGCATCCTTCTAAATTTTAATGAATTGATCAATCTTTTTTATTTTTTTATTTTTTGAAAAAAACGAGAATAGAAGGAGAGAAAAGAAAAGAATACATTATTTAAAAAAAAAAAGCAAATTGTGCATTAATCAATGACAGATAACATATTTTTTGATTAAAGAAAATCCTTTCAAAGTTGCCGCTTGAATGACCTTTGCATCAATTGAAATGACCTTGGGTATTAAATTCTAGGCATCTGTTTATAAGGCGTTTAAAATATTGCACTCAATATTTTAAATAAATTAAGAAAAAAAAATTTTTTTTCTTCGAAAAATTTTGCATATAATAAAATAATTTACAAATTAATTTTATTTATACAGAATAATAAATAATTAATGCATGTAACGAAGGGAAATATGAGAGGAAAGGAAGAGCGAGGAAAAGATTTTAAAATTAAGTAACCATAAAATTAAAGTTAAAAAGATGGAATGATAAAAAAAGTGATGGATGATTTTTCACTATAGCAATTATTCATCATTGCTATTAATTAGAAGATGAAACTAATTCAATCAAATATTTCATTTTATTTTAATTTTGACAAATAAATTAATTGAATGCGTGCAACGTTAATTTAAAATTATAAAATTCAATAATGTAAAAAATTTCACCATATTTAAATTTGGTCCTAATTGAGAAATTTTCCGTTGAAATCGTCCAAGTGCTGTTTGACAATGTGCTAAACGTTGCTTTTCAACGACTTCCAAATATTGCACACCTTTCCGAAGTACGCCATCCGTTACACGTCGTTGACGTTCAGTTGCTATTATTTCCTCAATATACGCTTGTTCCTGTTTCATCACTTGCTCTAACAATTTACGTTTCCTTACTGATAACTAAAAAATAAAAATAAAAATTAGTAGAAAAAGCGAAAGAGGGAAAATAATTGATGAGCAATTAACTGAAAATTAAAATTTCAACAATTTTTCTTTTGTGTTAAAAAGAGTTCATTTCTCTTTTTTTGCACTAAATTAAAATTTATTTGAAAAATACGAAATGAAAAAAAGGGAGAAATTTAGGCCAAACATACTGATTTTTCATAGATAATGATTACTATCGTTTTTTTACGCTTCAAATTTAATGAAATTGGGATATAAAAAAAATTCGAAAAATGAATTCACGAAATCATCTATTTCCTCGTCCGAGAATTAATAAAGGTAGGGAGCACTGATTGCAATTGTCAATATTATCATTATTATTACTTTTAAAATTTATTATTCATTTTATTATTCTCATTATAGTGATTAATTACTATTGTTATTGTTTCGATTAATGATATCAAAAAAACCTTGATATTTGACATATGGTCATTATCGATTAGCTGTTCAACCTTTTCAAGATCACGACTGGAACCGTGCAACAGACGTTTGATTTTCGATAATTCATCACGTTTCGAGGTCAAAAATCGTAATTCACGATTTGCTAACTGTTCCGTCTACAATGAATGCTGTTTCAAAAAAAAAAAAACGATAATAATGCATTAATTTCAAATTCATTTCCAGCTGTGTTACTAACCGAAGTACAAAAAAAACGAGTTTGGAAATTTTAAGATTAAAGAAATAATGAATTCACTTTTTTTCGAATCTATTTCATAATTTATCGGATAATTTAATAAAA